TTGAAGTTATAGGGAAAGAGTATATCCTTCTTGTGGCGTTGGTTCACTAAGAAGTTCATGAGGTTACTCTCTGACTCAGACTTCCAATTAGTCATTGGAGTAATTGGGTCTTTGAATACTATATGGGGATCAACAAAACCAATTTCATTGCCTTCCTTTTATCGAAAAGCTCTGTCATTGTAAATCTGCATATATATAGTACTTGTTAGGATAATTTATATGCATATACACACATATGATGAGTTTAATAATAGATCGAAAGAATTATTACTTACGAGGCAATAGCGACTAATGATAACTTTGTCCGAGAGAGGTCGGTGGCATAGTTGATGAAATTCGCAAAGTCAACATACATAACATCATCGCCACGGAACCAATGTTCGTCTCTAATTCTGACACCAACGCAGAAGTCTCCACTGGTAGACGCCTGCATGTACCACTTGTTTAGCAGGTACATTTGCGTCCCCAGATCAGATAAGGCTTGAGGGTTGTATAGACTCTGGCCTAGTACAAATTTTTTCTTCCAAATATCAACCTCCGCCGCACTCTCAATGTTTCCATCACCAAACATCTGGTAAAGGTCGAGACCAGTCTCATCAAGAAATTCACCAAGGTGATCCAAATCGACATCCGGAGGTATGTTTGCCCGATGCATTAATCCTAAATTGAACCATATTCATTACCAACAACTAGCGGGGGATTGATTGGTGCGCTTGTTGTCCGAGTTAGGCAACTCCTTTCCCCGCCCGCTTTTTTACGTGCCGCCTCAATTGACTTGGTGAGAGTGCGGTCATAGTCCGATAACGTTGATTTGGACGGCTTACGAGATTCCATTTGTTGATCTTTGGTAAGAAATCACCTTTTTCTTAAAATATCAAGAGCTACGAAGAAGTACGGTTTCTCTGGGTTTCTCCTTGCTTCTTGATTCATTTTAAGTTTGTCATAGAATCTAGACATGTCTTTTTTATATGCATCAGTTCCTTCTTCCTTCTCTTCAGATATTAGGGCAATTCCTTGCTTCGATCACGGACGCAATTCGCCACACTAGGACGAACTCACGCCGGTACTAGGCTAATTAGGGCACGCGAGAAAGGCGGTGTGACAAGAGTGGCGGTGCTCCACTCCGCCAGTATATATATCTCATACACATGGGTGAACGAGGCGGCGGCGGTTCTCGCCCGTATACATAGAAACGCATGGACGAAATGCATATGAATACAAATGACGTATATACGCACGTGGCGGTAGCGGTGGCGGTGTCTTTATGACGATGGCGTGAGGCGGGAGCGTCGTCTTGATTTACACGACGACGACGACGTGAGGCGGGCAGGCGGTGTCGGTGCGTGATGTTGTGATCCTATGTACCATGTGATCAACCATGTAGTCATTCATCATATGAGAAAATTCTATGTTAATAATATAAGTATAAGTCATTATGAAATGTAAGTATATGTGTCTTATTGCTCATATAACCATTACTATTTCCGAAATGATAAGAATTTATTTTCTTCTTTTACAAAGCGATCTCTACGATGCTATGATATAAAGTTTGAAGATAGTCTTCCGGAAAAAATATGTAATGCTCATATTACTTTAGCAACATTAATATATTATATCAGTATATTCAAAGTTCACAAATGAAGAAACATGTGATATTTTTGATAAACTAAAAACGCTTAGTTTACAAACTGGGTATCAAAATTGAGTTCCTATTTGACCATTATATATCCTACAACAAATCCTTCAAAAAAAAGACCCTACATGAATATATTTGGATAAAATTTCGTTAACAAACATTGATCTATGAAGATAGAAAAAATTCTTCTATTAATGTAGCGTTGTTTCGAATAATATATAGCGTGTTTATTAACAAACATATCTTAACAAAGAAGCGGATGGTTCGTAGCGTTGTTTCCGAATAATATATAGCGTGTTTATTATACAAGCCATGGATTTATATCGATCCAATTAATTTCTAAAGTAATTTTATTGGTGATCCTTAATTATACTTGTCATTTAGAGTTCCAAATATTCAAAACTTGCCTTAAGATATGTTTTTATTTAAAATCATTTAGAGTTCCAAATATCGGCAAAGTGTACCTCTTTGGAGGGCCTCGGGGCGGTGGTGGGGCAACCGCAGCTGTGGAGGGGCGTGTCGAGGCGCGGAGGAGGGCGCGGTGGAGGCCACGGGCAAGCGCGGAGGAGGGGCACAGGCGCTTGGTGGAGGCCGACGAGGAAGAAGACGGCGACGCCGGTGTCACGGAAGGCGAACAGACGCGCGCGCGAGGAAGAAGAGAGGCGGCGGTGTTCGACGAGGAAGAAGACGCAAGCGGATCGATCCGCCGGTGACTGGAGGTTATATATAGAGGAGAATTACTCCGGTGCCATCCACCAACCGGGAGTAAAAATTTTACTCCCGGTCGTGTTACCAACGGGAGTAAAAGGTACCTTACCCGGTGCGTGTTACCAACCGGGAGTAGTAGATATTTTTACTCCGGTTGGTAACACGCACCGAGTAAAGGATTTTTTTGGCGGAAACATGAATGCAGCCCACCTTTACTCCGGGTGGGCTTCCCACCCGGGAGTAAAGGTGGCCTGCAGATTCTTTCCCCACTGCTTTTAAGCAATAGTCTTGTTACATACAATAGAAATGCAATAGTTTTTATTAAATACATAGTAAATTAAATAAAAGGCATAAAATTATTTTGTTAAAAATATGAATTTTATTTTGTTTATTGCACATAGGAAAAATCGATAACCTAACTTTTTTTTTATTTTTTGTTAGAATTATAAAACATAATGTAACTAATATTTATTATTTCGTTAATGCAAAAATGTAGTGTTTAATTAAAATTATTAAAATTATTGGTTTTGGACAGGAAATTTGTTTTCATATCATTTTAACGTTAATATTTTAATTTTTCATCACTCAGTATCCTAATAATTTACCTTTTTGAGAGAGAAATCCCACCAAATCAAACATTGATTTAATTTAAAACATGACATAATAAACATCTGAATTCACAATTATTACATAATATCTCAAACACACACTATATTAAATCACTATATCATCAAGTGGGCACAGCAGTGAACTTCTTCTTTATGTATGTCCCTTGGTTATGATCGCTTCGTAACCATGGAGTGTCCTCATCATTTACCAAGATGCTAGGGTCTTTGTTCACTTTGAAGGGCGGAATTCGGTCATCCTTTTCATATTCTTCTGACATGTCCGACTTGTCCTCAATTCCCACGATGACTCTTTTCCCTGAAAGAACTATGTGGCGCTTTGGCTCTTTGGTTGAGTCATTATCATTTTTCCCTCTTTTTGGTTTGGTAGACATATCATTGACATAGAACACCTGATTCACATCCTTGGCAAGGACGAATGGTTCGTCTTTGTACCCAATATTACTAAGGTCTACTGTTGTCATTCCATACTCGTTGTCTACTGTTACTCCGCCTCCGGTCACCTTGACCCATTGGCACTTGAACAATGGGATCTTCAAAGTAGGTGCATATTCTAGTTCGGGGAGGAAGGAGGAGACGGCCGATTTATAAAGGGAGAACATTTAGTCCCGGTTGATAGATCCAACCGGGACTAAAGGTAACTTTCCAACCCCGGGCGCAGCCACGGCCCGGGAGTAGACCTTTACTCCCGGTTGGAGCCACCAACCGGGAGTAGAAGTCTACCTTTAGTCCCGGTTGGTGGATCCAACCGGGACTAAAGGTCCCTGCCACCTCTGTCTGGCGCAGTAGCCGTTGGGCAGGGGCCTTTAGTCCCGGTTGGATCCACCAACCGGGACTAAAGGTATTTCTAGTCCCGGGGGCAAAAAATTCCGGGACTAGAGCCCATTTTGACCGAGGATCAAAGGTCTGTTCTCTACTAGTGTAAACTTGACAGATTGTGTCATTCAAGTCTCTGAACTTTCAAAATGATCACCGCAGGTCCCTAAACTTAGCCGACGGTGTCATCTCAACCCCTCAATTTTCAAGGTGGTCACAGCAAGTCTCTAAACTTGCTCATCCATGTCCAAATATAATAATAACCTACCATGTCTGAAAAATATTGGACCATGTCTAAAAAATGCTACAACTTACTCTACTGCTAGACACGTAGGGAAGAGAGCAGACCTGCAGCTACTTGTGAGGTTGAGACCTTGGGGAAGAAAGCTGCAGAGGGATCTCCAAGCCTCGTGTGGGTCACCGATGCCGACGTCGATCGACGAGCTCGTCCCCATCACACGAGTCGTGTATGTCCGAGCTGCGAGCTACTATATGCACGAGCCGTGTACGTCCAACCTGCGAGAGCTGCGAGCTGCTATATGCACGATCCATGTACCTACGAGCTGCGAGCTGCACAAGCCATATACGTGACAATACGAGTCGGATCGTAGCCTAAACTGCCAAGCATGCGAGAGATTAGTTTTTTGACCGACTATGCACCAAGTTAACAAGTTTTTGATCCCGATAGAGCAGATTAAAAGTTTTTTTTAGGCCTCTTAACTAGGTACACCTGTAGTATCTGAACATGTGCGAACACACGCACCCCCCAACACACATGCATGCACTCACACCTAACGCACATATTTAGACCTAGAACTATACACAGAGCAGATTAAAAGTTGTTGGGAGGGTAATTTGCACCCACACGTCTAGTTCTTGTTCTAACAGTTCACAGAAGGCCACAAGCCCACAATGCGTCAGTGTGCATGAATAATAGGAGCAGGCCAGCTTCGGTTTTATCCCACGCACGAACTTGGGCCATTTCTAACCAATTAAGCCCACTGGGCCGCAAAATGGAACGTTGGGTGCGTGCGAGTGCGACGAATGTTTAGGCGATGCCCGTCCAGGCCCAGTCGTCGCTGGGAGCAGAGCAGCCTCCCTGGCACGTGCTTCCCCTCCTCCTTCCCCGTCGACTCGTTCCGACTTCCGACCACGCCCCCCGTCACGCTCGCGCGCCTCGTCGTCCTCCGCCGCCGTCGTCCCCGCCGCCGACGATGCCTCGTAAGGCCTCGTCGACCTCAGGTCCGTGCGTCCAGTCCCCTCTCAAAACCTTTTGAACTCTCTACCGCCGGACCTAACGCTTGCCTCCGCCTCGGTAACCCTAACTCCCAGATTCGCGCCTCAAATGGCGCAAGCGGAAGCGCAACCCGGACGCGTCCCCGTCCAAGCCCTCCACCTCGGCCGCCGCCGCCGCGGCCGACCACTCCTCCGACTCCGACTCCGCCGACGAGGACGCCGCCGTCCACGGCGCGGCGGGGGACGGGGCAGCCGGCGACGACGACGATGCTCCCGCGCTCGCCCTCCGCGAGGCCGAGGTGCTGCCCTCGGCCGAGGCCATCTCTGCGTTCCCCGCCGCCAAGCGCCGCGTGGTCAACCGGCCGCATCCGTCCGTCCTCGCGCTGCTCGAGGCCGAGCGATCCGCTTCTTCCGGCGATGTCCCGACCGTGGCACCGCCGGCGCTAGAGAACATCTCGCACGGGCAGCTGCAGGTGCTGTCCGGGGTGCTTCCGGACCACCCGTCCCTTGGTACAGACCCCGACAAGCCGTCCTTGTATGTGTGCACGCCGCCTCCCCTCATGGAGGGGCATGGGGTGCCCAAGCAGTTCCAGGGTCGCCTCCATGTGGTGCCCAAGCACTCAGGTTTGCTCTCTGCGTAAACACGGATCACTGAGCTGTGCTGGAAAAATGCGCTAATTTAAGTAAACTATGCATTTTGCTTTGTAATTTGTAGATTGGTTCTCCTCGGGGACAGCTCATAGGCTGGAAAGGCAGGTAGTGCCACACTTCTTTACTGGCAAGTCTCCAGGGCACACTCCGGAGAAGTATGTCATGTTAAGGAATAAAGTCATTGCCGAACCCAAGCAAGAGGCTTGCTTTTGCTGAGTGCCAGGGGCTTGTTGGGAGCACAGCTGAACTGTATGATCTGAGTAGGATTGTTAGGTTCTTGGACACTTGGGGCATCATCAATTACCTCGCTGCTGGGTCTGTGCACCGTGGCCTGAGGATGGCAACTTCGCTTCTAAGAGAGGAACCTACAGGGGAACTGCAGTTGCTTACAGCGCCATTGAAATCAATCGATGGTCTAATTTTGTTTGACCGGCCAAAATGCAGCCTCCCAGCGGAGGACATTTCTTCTATGGCAGCGTCTTCGTCTAACTCGGAGGCTGTGGATTTTGATGCTGCATTTGCAGACTTGGATGCAAAGATCAGGGAGCGTTTGTCTGAGAGCTCTTGCAGTTATTGCTTACAGCCTTTGCCAAGTTTACATTACCGGTCACAAAAGGAGGTGCGCTTCTTTGTAACATCCATTTTACATGTTTTATGTTAAATGTTTTGTGTAGAGAATCTGTATCTGTATTTTGGAAGTTGCACTTCTGTGTAGAGAATCTGTATCTGTATTTTGGAAGTTGCACTTCCATTTCACTCCTGCTAAAAAATAGGACCTTCCTCCAAGGTTTTGATTCTACATTACAGTAAGCAGCTGAGGTAGTCTTGCTTCACAATTTAGCATGTTATTGCTTAGGTTTTGGTTTAGTGTGGTAGACTAATTAAACCCTAATTATTTCTTATTTTGGGGTTCTGCCTACTTATTATTATTTTACTCACATTTTTTTTTGTCAAACCTTGGATACGCAGCACATGCTGAAAACGTGTATTAACAATTTAATGTTTCTACTAGTTGATTGACTACTGTACTTGGGAAAAGAACATTTAAGGGCTGTTTGGTTGGTGCCTCCAAAAATTATGGCATGGCTTCAGGGCCCTATAAAGCAAACAGACCCTTAGTTACAAATATTATTAAGTGTCCAATTTTGATGCGAGACTATCTGCTTTTGCTGTGCAGTATAACTCTTTGAACTCCATTGGGTTTGTATCCATCTGAATGTATTATTGTGATTCCTCTGTTTTTATTTTGTGCGACAAACGTTAGCAATAACAAGTATGTTTTAACAGCACTGGCTAATCAAATTTGGAAACGGGTTTCAGATCACACCTGCATTTTGTCGGGGTCATGATACCCGGGTATCTCAAGGCACCGATTAGTTGGCAGGCCAGGGTACACCAGCCAGTACAAGCCCAAACAATCGAGGCCCAAATATACTGCAAAGGTAAGGCCAAACGCCAGCACCGAGGCCTGCCATGACCTCTCCCTCCGCCTTAGCCACGCAACAAGGCAATAGCCATCGACCTCTCCGTCTTGACCTTTGGGAGTCATGAGAAGGAATCGAGTCCCACCAAGCGTGCCCACTCTGATAAGAGCAGGCGCGCCGCATGGATCTCACAAAAACCAAGGAGACAACGGTCACCTCGGTCCGGCCAGACATCATCCCTACCACGACGTAGAGAAAAGACAACACCGCCCAGCGGTAATAGCCAGTACGGTGATCCACCGTCCATGTACGGCTCGACGGGACACATGTACGTATCCACCCATCACGGGATGGGAACCACAACGGAGAAGGCCACGACCTCAATGCAAGGGATCGTGGCCGCCATCTTTACAAAGCAACAAGGTGAACGATAGCCTGGGAGTGGCTACCAACTCCGGTACGGTGACCTCGGGAGATCAGAAGATAATAACGAAGACCACGTCGCACAGGACTACTGGCGAAACACCATCGTGCCAACAGTGCTACCATGGATGGCACTATAGGCCATGCCACACCATGCCGTGATATGGGCACAAGACCATGACGACAGCCATGCCCGAACGTGCGCCTCAAGACGGCGTTACTTGCAAGCCAAGTTAGCTAGGATCTCCTCTGTATGTGCCCTGGCCCCGAACTCTATATAAGGGCAGCCAGGGCACCCTTCAAAGGTATCTACAGACTATCCTCTACAATCTACACATTCACTCATTCTCCATAGTCGGACTTCTGAAGCTTTCCTTTAGGCAGTTCATCCATGGGCTCTAGTCTCTCTTTTACTATTCTTGCACCCCCCATTGTAAGAACTTCAGAGCATTCAAGCGAGGAACATGCACTCGATCATCTCTAAGACTGGACGTAGGGCTCCGGCCTGAACCAGTATAACTCCTTGTGTCTTTTGGATGCTACCGTCGTCTTCCTGGAGCAGCGTGACGATCGTATAAGTTTACTAGCCTGTTTACAAAACACCGACACATTTATTACTATATGGGATGCACCAATTAATTTCAAAAAGAAATGAGGAGGAAAAAGGAGATGAAAGTGCATTTTCCTCGTTGTGGGTTTTGGTGTATTGATGACATCCAAATTAGTGACTAATGAGCATTTATGAGATATACATTGCAGCTTTTGTCCCTTGAAAGATTTAAAGAGATGTTTTGGTTGAAAAGGTGTCCATCAATTCTTGAAGTAAAGCTTCTCTTATGTCCTGCATTTGCAATCTTATAGCCTTAACACTATCAACACGACTCTCCCAACGAGTAGACGACAATGCCTTGAGAGTCAAACCTGATATGTTATCTTTCAAAATTTGCCATCTCTTAGTGGACTTAGCAAATATTGTATAGATACGCTGAATTAAAAAACTCGGGCTGCGAGAGGGCAGACACCCTCGAGCTATTTTGCTTAAGGTAGAGGACTCTCATCTCAGCCCGAGAAAACCCCCGAACCCCATATCCCACCCGCACACAAGGGCCCGTTACCCGGTGAGTGGGCCGGTCTGTTTACCTGTGCTTTGGGAACGTGGAACAGGCGAGGGGATTTTTTTAAACCTCTGACCCCGAGATCGCCCCCGTGGGGGTTCAAACCCAGATCGGCATGGTGGGAGCCGGACATCCTCTCCAACTGGACTAGGAGTCGTTCCCTATAGATACGCTGAATTATTCCAAAAAAAATCTTTTGCTTTACCATAACTTTTTGACATATCACATAGTGTCAAATTAAGACTATGACAACCACAAGAATAAAAGGCCCTAGGATTGATATCCAAAAGTTTCTTTTGCACCCTGTTTTCCCCTTTCATATTTGATCCATTATCATATCCTTGTCCTCTCACATTGTCAATATCAAGGTCAAGATCCTTCAGTTCATTCTGTAAAACATCAAACAATCCTTACCCCGTTGTATCATTTATGTCATAAAAACCTAAGAATGATTCCTCAATCTGAAGAAGTATCAACATATCTAATGATCAAAGACATTTGTTCTTGGTGGCTTATATCTGGGGTACAATCAAGTATAACTGAGAAATACTTTGCTTCCTTTACTTTTCTAATTATGAAATACTTTGCTTCCTTTACTTTTCTAATTATCTCATACCTGATAGCAGCAGCAAGCAGATTGAACTCATTCTGGATGCCATGACCAAGGAAATGTACATGAGTTTCATCATTTGTTATCCGTTTAACATGCTCCTGGATGACCGGATCAAATTTAGCCATCGTTTCAACCATACCTAAGAAATTCCCATTGCTATCTTGGTATAGCTTGTTATTAGTGCCACGAAATGCTAAGTTATGTTTTGCGAGGAATTTTACAATCAAGATGATTCTGAACAGAACCTCCCTCCAATGATCCTTTTCTTTCTCAAGTTCTCTCAGAGCAACTTTATCAATAGTTTGATTTTTATCAAATTTGAGACGCGTGTCGTACCAAGCTGCCATATTTGTGATATGATCTGCACTGGTTCAAGCCTTTTTTTTCTTTTTGCGTTTTTCATGACCGGAATCATATTTTCTAATTCTACAAGACATGATATAAAAATAGAGTACCCTGTTTCACGAATAAAAACCCAACAAAACAAATAAAAAAAAAGACAACATGTGACGATGTTACTAATCCTATACTTTTATAAAGAAAAATACCAATAACAATTTATTTGGCTATGCAAAGTGTCCACGTCAGCATCCACTAGAACATCCCACTAGCACATGTAACTATCACTCCATGCAACAATGCTCACATCAGCATCGACTAACACATCCAACTAACACATGCTATTATGTCTTCATTCAAGCTATTCATATTAGCAAACCACATCATTTACTAACATATATTAAGTTATGCACATCAAATGCTAAAAATAATGATATTTATTCATTCATTCATATATTAGTAAATATAAGTAGTATAATTTTATCGACGATTCCGTATCAACGCGGGCAGCATTCTTCTAGTTAACTAAGAAAGTAAAGGGCATGTACCTGGGATGCTGATCGCCTGCTGGATTTTTGAATCGCAGTCTGCATTCGCGAGAAGAACAGGCGGCGGCGGTGCGGCTTCTTGCTTCGATCCCACACTCCCGGTCAAAATGCGACGCAAAACTCACGTAAAGCTACCAGGCCGGCAGGCTGCAACAGGAAAAAACGAAAACCAAAAGGCCCATACTAGCCTCTGGAAGCCCAGTCGAAGGGGGGCCTAGTGCTTGTCGCCCCACTTGCACTGGGTCAAATACGGGCCCGAGACTATAGGCCCTTTTTCCCAATCAATATAATAATTCTATGATGCCTCGAACTGCGGACTAAGATCAATTCCCAGACTAGGAGGGCATGCATGCTTTTATCCTGAGGCCTTGTTCAGTTACTTAGGATTTCACCAGGAATCAATCCAGATGATTAAAACTTATATAAACTATGAAAGCAAACCGGCTAGGAATGGTTTCAGGCCAGAGTTCCCCTTCAACCGAACGGGCCCTGAAGAAGCCGGGGCGGCCAATCGACGCCCCGGGCTTCGCCCTCGCCCTTGTTGTCCACGTCGGCAGCGCCCTCCACTGCGCTACGGTCGCACATGTTGCCGCCGTGAGTCCCGTTTTCTCCGTTCCCTCTCGCTGCCCTGAACCCTGATCCCCTCGAGGCGGTCACTGCTTCTTGCGACCGGAGCGACGAAAGAGCAATCTGCCAAGGCTGACAACACCACGGCTCGATCCTCGGTGGAGGTCGACGGCAACGGCAACGGCAACGGCACGGCCGAGCACTACTAGTCAGTAGTACGGCCGGAAGGAATAAGGGCAAAACAGCACAGTGATTGATTGCCTATGTGGACTCACGGGAGGGAGAGGAAAACAGTGCTGAATCGCGAATGACGTTGCCGCCTTCGTCATCGAGCTCGTACGGCATTCAGTGTCGTCGGGGTCATCAAGCCCCCTCGCCGGCGCGCACTGCAGGCAGCGCCTCCGTGCCACCAGAGACTGCGCTCCTCACGCGCTGGGCTGGGCCGCAAGCGATCATTGAACTTGGGCCATGTGCCATCTGAGTCACAGCCCAAAGCGCATGACACAAGGACCATGCCATGCCTAAGATTTCGGTGCATGATCCGGTCCGAATTTTGGGTTGGGTTTGGCCGGCACAGCATGAAAAATGACATATAAGTACATCTACAACACTAAAATATAATTTTTATATTACTTATCTAATTTTTGAATGGATTATGAAAATCATTTTCGTGAATATGGTACATAATAGATGTGGTTTTTATGTCATGACCGCAGGGGCAAAGCCAGACAAAAGTGGCACCGGGTTCGGTCCTATTTCACGATGGGGCCTTTGCCTTTCAAGAACAATGCAGAACAATTATTTTCATCGAATTTTCAAAAATCCATTGGGGTCAGCGGACCCCAACAAGAAAGCATAGCTTCACCCATTGACCAGACAAAGAAAACTAACAAAAATATTTTGAGGATCGTGTCTGAGCGGGCACGACACGAAGATGAGCTCGCGTGCTATGGTCCGTGCTTGGACCGGAGCGAAGACTTATCGTGTCATACCGGCACACCCAACGCACCTTGCATGCCTAGAGGCCACATCCAAAGCGACATGAAGCATGAGAGGGCCGTCACATGCTCGCTTTGAAGCACGATAGGGTCGTGCTGTGCTACAAGTCCCACCTCTACTCGTGCCGCATGAGCATTCTTGTTATATGGATATAATTCGATCTGTCTTTTATTGAACTAGATGATACTTCACGTGTTGCTGCAAAAATTGTATCGCGTTGACTCAAGAATGAAATAATAAAATTTTGTAAGAAAATATATTGTTTTTATGAGGTTTTTATTAGTCTTTTCCATCTAGCAAGTGTTGTGCATTAGTCTTTTCCATGCAGCAAGTGCAGTGAATTAGTACATGGCGTTATACTCATTTAATGTTTGCCACGTAGAACTAATTGTTGATGTGACTTATTATGAATAAAAGAGGAGAGAGAAAAAAACAATGTGCTATATATTGATTTTGGACTTTTCGTAGGACACCGTAATGTTGTGTGATATTACACTTGAGAGGTTATAACAGTGTCACACAAGCACTGAAAAGTTTATTTGATCCCAACTGTATCTGTGTACCATGTATGCTACGTGACAGTCTTGGATTTTGGAGTACGACATCATCTATTAGGACTAGCCTGAGCTACAGGGGGCGCCAAGAACCGTCTCCAGTCTTATGACCTCAATGAATTTTTGGAAAGAAAGTATATTCTGAGCTGCCAAGTTTAAGGACCTATTTGGTTTTGGATGACTAGGGGTCTGTTTGGTTTCCATAAGTCAGGTGACTTATTAAGTCAGGTGACTGAAAATCAGTGACTTATAAGTTATGACTGTTTGGTTGTAGATGACTTATAAGTTCATTAAAGGTGTGGGCCCCACGCGAAAAATGGTGACTTATAAGTTTTAAGCAGGGGTGAACCAACTTAAAACTTATAAGCAGGGGTGACTTATAAGTTGGTGGTGTTTGGCAAAATAAGTCACTTTTTTCACTTTTTAACTTATAAGTAGGTGACTTATTTGGAACCAAACAGGCCCTAAACTTTAGCACCCCACTTTACTCCCTTTTAGACACTTTTTAGCCAAACAGCGTGATTAAAAACGGACTAAATGGGTTTAGTCATCTAGTTCCTAAGGGGGTGACTAAAAGGGACTAAAAGCCTATTTTGACAGAGGTTGCCCTTCATTATTGCCCTCTGCCCACCCCATGGCCTATATTAGGGGCATTTAATAGGGGTGTTGTGGTCTTTTATCAACAGCTTTAGTCCCTTTTAGTCACATAAACTAAACATCCTAGACTAAAGTTTAGCCCCGGAAAACAAATTCCATTTTCGTTTCTCCCGGGCTCGGTTGCCACCATGCTCGTTTGGGCCATTTCAACCCCGCGCCGGTTGGCTCTAGTGAGCTCACGCGGCATGGGAAATCCCCCCTCCCTCCCCGGTGCGTTAGGGTTTGGCAGCCCTTTGTATTTGGCTGTAGTCTCTTCTCTTTTTCGCTTCCCTCTCACTTCCTCACTCAATCAGCCTCCTCTCTCCCTTCTCTCAAGCAGCAACAGGTCCTTCGTGGCGTTGTGGTTGAAGCAAGTCGTCGCCTCCGTGGTTGGGGCCTTCTTCGAGTGGGTGGCTTCTTCTTCCCCTTCTCCGAGCTGTTGGTGACTAGAGCACTTGGTGCTCTTCGACGCTAGACCTGCTTCCCCGTCAGGCTGTCACCAGCTTTCGCCTCTTCACTGCCTCCCCGTCCCCCCTTCAGCTAAGGCCTTGTTTAATACACATGTATCTACCTTAATCCACTTCAACACATGTGAATTGAAACAAATACATGGACATCCAAACAAGCCCTAAAGCAAGGTGAAACAAACCTGCATCCCTCCAGAAACTGTGTTTGGCCTAATGTGTAGACATGTTTTAGTAAAATTTGTAAACTCTGTTAGGTGTTAAACATCCTTTGTTCTTCTTCTGTATTTGCATGCACTTATGCTTGAATGAATACTGTTTTGATGGGAATACACCCGCCAGATCAATGCATGAGCCACCAGGCCCATCTAGAGAAACAAACATGATCTCATATTGATAGTTATGGTAGTTGACACGTGTGCTGCAGCCAAACAAACATGAACTCTGCACAACTAGGGCCAACTGGCCAATGAAACAAACATGCCTCTTTTGCACGAATAAAACCTGGCTCTGGCCACCCTGACGGGCCACAATGGTCCAGGCAACCAAACAGCTACAGAGCCACAGTGGTGCACCAATGTGCTGGTATGGTTTGGTCGACAGTTGCTAATTGCTGCATGATCCGACTTGCGTGAAACTTTGGATACAACAATAGGCTATTTCATCTCAGAATCCTAAAACAGTTGGTCAACGGAAGATAACATAATAATATTAAAAGGTCTCCTGAGGGCATTCCGAAGATACTTAGTTATTAAGAGTAGCATGCTACAAATAGCTCAGCCTCGACTTAAATGGTTTCTCAGTGCCACTCAAATATGCTTTCTTCCGTGAGATGGCGGCGGGTGTGCACGGGGAAGGGATCGGCATGCACAGGTGCGGGCGGCGCTGACGGAGAACCGGTGAATCGGGGATTTTTCATTGCCGTGAACGAGTCTGGGAGCCGCCAGAGTCCACATCCAGATAGCCTCCGTTGATTGTTTTTCCTTTTTTTTTTTCTACACAAGTTAACTTTTTTATTTTCTGTCCCAGCAGGGGCTGCTCAGCCTACGGCGCCCTTTATTTTGAGAAATTTTTTGAAACGCAGACGTGCTGTTATTTCGGGACCGAGGGAGTACCGGCAACAGCTACATCTATTACTACTGTTAATATGAAGGTTGTTCCATGAATCTGGACAGCTAACAAGTAACAAACAAATAGTTTAGCCTACTCTCTAGCTGGCTGCAAGTGGTGACCGCCTGCCTGTGGACAGCCACAAAGACAGCACAAAATATCAGCTCAAATATCTTTATCTTCAACACCAAGGTTCTTTATCTTCAGCACATTGTGATCCCTTCTTGTATAAAATTTGTGAATTGCTGGCCTAGCTTCAGGTGTGGAATGGGTGGTGGTATAGCTGTAGTTGGTGGGGTTGTATCAAAGCCCTAAGGACAATAAATACACAAGCAGGAACTAGAATCAATCCAGAAACGAAAATATCTAGGCCATGTTTAGATTGCAAATTTTTGCAATCTGGACGCTGTAGCATGTTTCGTTTGTATTTGACAAACTTTGTCCGATCATGGACTAACTAGGCTCAAAAGATTCGTCTCGTGATTTACAACCAAACTGTGCAATTAGTTACTTTTTTTACCTACATTTAATGCTCCATGCATGCGTCTAAAAATTGATGTGATGGAGAGAGTGAAAAAACTTATAACTTTGATGTCATCTAAACAAGGCCCTAGTACAAATGGTACCATACGGCACAAGATATGGCATTACCTTGAACATCTCCCTTAGCTCAGCTTCCCTAGCTTTCACCTGTAAAAGTGGGGGAGAACACGTGTAATTGAAACTGAAGCAACAAAAATGTTGAAAGACTGAAAGGCTTCCCAGGAAATAAATCATCATACATATTTATCATCATCCTCATCCTCATCCTCATAATCCCTCTTCCACTTTGCAAAGTATCCAAATGGCAAACCCACATTCAAGTGACCAGCACTGTATCCATCAGAACTGTTAGGGTGCTTCATACCAACATCTCCATCTCTGGTGCAACCATAGCAGCGACCTTTATTAACAAAGAAAAAGATTTAACTGCAAAGGAACCAACCAAGCACAAACACACAATAATGTTAAAGGTAATAAAAAATCACTATGCAATAATTGTTGTGCATTAACCAGTTTGACATATTATAAATAATGAAAAGCTCCAGGATAACGAAGGTGGCACACATGGAACAGGGTCAAACAAACAGGTCAACACAGTAAAGATCATATGCTACAGCCAGAGATACATTACAATTACAGGCAGATATGTTGAAGGTAGTGCGACCAAATAACTGAATTTGAACAGTACTTAATTTAAGATAAAGAGTATATAATACCATTGTCACTCAGATTAACTGTGCAGAAACAGTTAACCACCTGTTCTTTAAACTTTCCTTGTGTCATACATTTCACTTCCACAAAGAAAAGATTATCCATACTACATTCATTAGGACCACCCCCTTTAATCTTTGTAGTGAAATTGAGATGATAGTACAAAGTCAGGTTCTCACAAATTGACTGATAGTGTAAAACGTCTTTGAATTCGTGTGCAAGATCCTGAAATAAGAAGCATGGTTCAAATCAGCAATTGTTGCATTAACAAGCAATAAGACACAGCGCAACAATGGTAACAAGACACACAATGAGGGCAGAAGGGAGAGCAAACCTCCAAAAGATTATAATCCTCATTATACTTGTCCACTAAAGCTTGAACAAATTGACACATTTCGGATTTCTCAGTTATAGCTGATGTTGTACGCCTCTTGATTGTGCCATCAGGCCAGTAAAGACATTGTCTTATAGCCTTATCTTGCTCCACACACCTAATTTAGATGAGAACATTCTATCTCATCAGTAGATTGCACTTTCTCAAAAGTGGAGAACACAAAGCAATACCAAGTACTCCCTCCCAGATCCAAAAAAATAAGCAATTCTAGGCTTCTAGCTTTGTCCTAAGTCAAACTCTTAAGTTTGACCAAGTTTATAGAGAAGGGTATCAACATTTATGAAACCAAATAGGTATACCATGAAAAAATATTTCATGATTAATCCAATAGTGCTTACTTGGTATCATAAATATCGGTACTTTTCCATATAAAATGGTCCGACTTAAAATGGTTTGACTTAGGGCAAAGCTACAATGGCATTCTTTTGGGGACAAAGGGAGTACTAGGTTCACTAGTTTGCAAAGAAGGTTGTTGACTAGGATGTACCTCACATAGCTCATGGTAGCAATTAACAACAGCAACAGCAAAATGATACAAGATTGTTCATATGCAGACATGCCTACAAATGCTCAAGTGCATTATACCTTCTTTTAAGGAAAAAATGTATCCCACTGCAATTTTCAGATGGCCAACAAAGTGTGCTCTGATCACACTATTTTGACCAGTTAACAGAACATATTGTTTGCTCTGTTCACACAATTTTCGTACATGAGGAAACATTGTTGTATGGTACCACCGTTCTTTAGCTGGCTGAAGGTTAAGTACTAATTGTACAGGTTACAATTCAGATAATAGAAATCTACATTTGAACAAAGTTGTATGTGGTACACTGGTACTATAGCATCTATCTTTGCTCTGTCAATTTTAAACAAAGTGGTAGTATGATCTTTTGCACTATTTCAACAGCTTGTCAAATAAAGTTACAAAATGCTCTCAACTTTAGGTGGTTCCAAAGAGGAATTCTAAGAATAAGAAATATATGCTGATAACTTTCAATCTTAGATTAACTTAGTTTGGCCATAGTTTTTTTTTTTTAAAAAAAAACTGTGATTATCTTCTGTGACCTGCCATTGAAGAATGTGGCTACATAGCTTTTTTGAACATAATCAACTGCAAGGATGCACACAAATAGGGGAAAATCCAAATCCATAACGCAGGTGAGACAACTTACATCTTTGGATCCCGGCGGTCCTCGAGATAGCGATCAATGGCCTTGTCGGTTTCCTCTAAGTTCTGAAATGGCCCACCCACATCAGGATTCGTATGGAAATATCCCTGAAGATCGAGCCTGATATAAAACCGGCGTCCCCAATCACGCCGCAGCCGCTCCCATATGCGTGACACTGGAGGCGAGGAAAGGCAGTGTCCTGATACTGATAGCTGCGACACCTGAGGTAATGCCTCTGCCTGTGAGGCAGGCAAGGACGACGACGCCTCTAGCAGCGTTTGTGCAGATGCAAGCTTAGCCTCATGCTCCTTGTCCTCCCGGAACCTGAACACATTATCATCGTGTTCTTGGCAAGTTATAATTGATAGTACAGAAGAAAAAGGCTAATACAGGCCAAAAATCTGACTGAAACATAGTAGTCTATCAAAACGATGAGGGAACACACTCCCTCCCCAAGGATCCATCCAATCCAAGTTAAACAAGAGGAACTATTCGATTTCAATACATGCGACGAGCGGGAGCGTTCTTCAGAATCTTCACCAGACTCGTGACCGCGGCGGCGGCGGCGATTGGGAGGCATGGGGGTGCTGGGCAGCGAGAAGGGGGCTACGGTTTGGCGATTTCTTGGGGACGGGGACGCCGGGAGCCCGGGACGGATCGGGAGAGGCGACCACCTCGGCGCGAGCGGGATCTCCGGCGAGGGAGGCGCGGGGAGCGGGCGCAGACAACCTCCTCCGCTCGGACGCGGACGGCGGACGGGAGCTTCGGCGAGGTAGAGGACTACTCGTGCTCGGCCTGGGATGTGGGTGGCGAACTCGGGTCCGAGTTGCGGGCAGATTGATGACGGAAAAAGAAGCGACGGTAGAGGGAGCACTTTTTTTAGGAAAAAAACTAAAATAAAATTTTAATAATAACATTTATGTTTTTTTACTGAATAATAATAACATAAGTACAGACACAGCAACACACGCACACCTCGGACCCACTGGTCATTGAAACGGGGCGCGGGGCCGAGCTGTCAGCCAGCTAAGAGAGAGAACGGGGTGCGCGCCTGCGCTGGCTAGGCTGGACCGGCCTGGTCGGGGTGTGGGCCGCGCTAAGGGGCGCATTGGGCCTGCGAAGAGGAAGCGGGCTGCGGGAAAGTGGAAGGCGGGAGCGGGCCTACGGAGGGAACTGGGCTAGCAGGCCGAAAAGAGAGGGAGGGGAAAAGTTTTCCTTTTTTTCTTTTTATTTTCTGGAATCTATTTTCAAATCCATTTCAAAAGCAATTTTGAATCAGTTTGAATTTGGATCAAAACCACTCAGTACAAATGCATCATAGTGTATGCAAAACAATGTTGCTACATCCTATGATGAATTTTAATTTAATGAAAAATATTATTTTCCTATGTTTTTGTGAGTACAAAATACATAATTAAATTATTTTCACTTTATTTCAAAATATGTAAATTTTCGGGTGTTACAATGAAGCTTGTATTAGTATTGTCAGTTGCTATTGTTGCAGTTGAGAGGATTTTCTTAGGCGTGAAGATTGTGAAAAGAAATTTACGCAACCACATCAACGATCAATTTATGAGCAATTATTGCCTTATGTATTATCTGGAGAAGGCAGAAATGATGAAAGTCACGAATGAGACCGTGATTAGCTGCTTCATGAAAATGTAAGAGCACATATTTGATGGTGACATTAAATTAAAGGTGTATTTATTTTAAATTTGATTTTTTGTTGGAAAATTGAAACTAATCATGTCATTTGTTTGCTTTTTTAGGCCATCGAATTGTCAAGGATGATCAAGATGTGAAATCAATTGATGTTTTTTTTGTCTATGGTAACATTTTTCGACCATGCTAATAGTATTTATTTTGTAATTTTTTTGTCGCTTCTTTATAGTCGCACTACCCTCTATTACACTCTAGCTTCACCACTGGATATGAGTGGTGCAATGCTAATAAAATTTTACAACTCCAAACTAAGAGCAACTCCAGCAGACTACCTGAACACACTATATATCCTAAATTTAAATAGTGGAGCAACACAATCCAGCTAGCTACATATTAGACTACCCAAATTTGTTGGTCGAACAAAATCCTCTTCCCACTATCTACTTTTGTTGGGCAACAGATGGCTACCTATTTTTTTTCCTTCGGTCTCTTTCCTCCACTACTACAGAAATCTTAATGGAGACGGGCAAAAACAATTAATGGAGGCGGGCATTGCAACTGCCTCTAATCAAAGATCATGGTTAATCATGACTTTACGGAGGCGGTTGCCCTGCCCGCCTCCATTAATCAATTTAAAAAAATATAAAAAAAAGGCATAGCTAGCCCAATCGAGCCCGCTATCGAGCCCAATCGAGCTCTCCGCCGCGCTCCGCGTCCACGCCGCCGCCAGCTCGCCACAGCTTGCGTCGTCGCCGCTATGGGCCGGATCCGTAGCTCCGATGACCGGATCCGGGCACCATCGCCGTTGCACGCCGGATCCGAGCCCCGCAGTCGCATCCTTCGCAGATCCAAGCGCCATTGACACTGCTTGCTCAATACCACCGGATCCACCACCGGTGGGGCTTGAGCAGCACCCGCTGCAGCCGGCCAGACCGTCGTTCGCCGTGGGAGAAAGAGAGTGAGTGAGAGGAGCTAGGAGAGATAGAGAAAGAGAGGACCATCGTTACCTGGAAGAGATGCTTGCTCGCTGGATCTCGCCCACCGTCGCCCGCAAGCCGCCAGATCCGCACGCGGTGTGGCCGCCACGAGCGCCGCCGCCGCCGCTAGTGTGGACCGCCCCGCGCACCGCCGCCGCCACTTGCTGCTGAGGGTGAGGGAGAGAGAGAGGAGGGTGAGTGAGGGAGAGAGAGAGAGGAGGAGGGCGACTAAGGAAGTGGGCGTCGGATGTGGTGGGCGTCGGATGCAGCATCGGGTGTGGAGGTGGCGTCGGGTGCGGCTGGAGGCAGGGAGAGGGTGGGAGTTGGATTGGAGTGGGGAGAGGAATGAAGAAAACCCTAAGTTTGCTCTTATATATGAGCCCAGTATGGGCTATGCCTGAGCTCCGAACTGGGCCAATATTTTCGGAGGTGGGCCTTATAGTGTGCCCGCCTCCAAAAATAGATTTACGAAGGTGGTTGCCTTAAGATGACCGCCTTCGTAAATAGAGGATTTTTGGAGGTGGTTGTCTTAAGATGTCCGCCTCTGTAAATAGATTTTTGCGAGGTGGGCAAATGTGACCGTGCCCGCCTCCGTTAATAGCCCAGTATTTTAGGAGGCGGTTGAATTTTGTGCCCGCCTCCGTTAATGTTTGGGCACCGTCTCCTAAAATCATTTGTGTAGTAGTGCTCCCCACACGCTCGGAACCGCCCGCCACCGCAGCCCACAGGCCTTCTTCCCCGCCTGCGTCGGCGCCTCCTCCTTCGCCGAACCTTCCCCGGCGAACATTGGCCCTCACGGCATGGCCTACCCCAGCGGTCGGAGCTGCCATTCCCGACACGGCCTTCCCCGGCGGCGCAGCCTCCCTCATGCGGGCTTCCCCGTTGGCGCGGCTCCTCTAGTGCGGGCGCACGACCATCCCCGACATGGGAGGCGGTGGCCATATCTGGCGCGGCCACGCCTCCAAGCACAAGCGCGCAGCAGCCGTCCCCCGCGTGGGCCCGGTGGGCTCCCACAGCGCGGGCACGCGTGCAAGGTGGCCATCTCCTCCTCGCCGCCGTAGAGAACAAGAGAGAGGATGATATCATGGCCCCACATGTCATTCACTACTAGAATGCATTTAGGTGCCTATTTTAGATAGTGTTGTTGGGGTTTCAGGCAGAAAATAAGTACCCGTCTCTAAATAAATAGATTTCTAGAGTTGTCTTAAGTCAAACTTTTTAAACTTTGACTGAATTTCTAGGAAAAAACGTTAAGATTTATGGTATGAAATTAGTATCATTAGATTTACCAAATAATATTTTTTCATAAGGTGTTCGTTTTACTTCATAGATGTTGTTATTTTTTTCTATAAAGTTAGTCAAACTTAAAAAAAAGTTTGATCGGCACAGATTATAGGAATTGATTTATTTGGGACGGGGAGTAGTATAAAAATAGGTGGCTATCCAAATAGACATTTAGGTAGTTTGTTTTTGGTAATAATACTGTTGAAGATGCTTGAGTAGTTAGGACAGGGTGGACAAAAAAATAGAGATGGAAATTTTAGGTCTCCAATATGAGTAGATAATGTTCATGCGTTGCAACAAGAAAAGAAATAATGTCACGACAATGAAAATACAACATGTATTGTACTGTTACTCAGAAAAGACATTTCGAGCGTGATGTTCAAAACGTCACTGTTACTCGTGATCTAAAACAAGAGTTAACGGCTCAGTCCTCAGCAACTATAGGAGTACACCTTAAATTGTAAATGAGCACATGGCTATGAGATAAGTTTGTAAAAGAAAAAGGCGCTGATGAATTATGATCGTACAAAGGGATCGACACAAATGGCCACCGTTATCCTGTGCATGTGCATTAAGCAGAAGCAACTCATACGGCAAGATTGTCTCCTGATGGATTTGCTAGCTGCATTCAATCTGAAATATGTTTTCTTCTGATAAAACTAGTGACAAATATGCATAGGTCATAGAATGTTTGAAGCAAGACTTAAAGTACTATATACCTATTAACTGTTGCGTTTCACTAAATAATTCCGGTCTTATGGTAATCTTTCTATGCAAACTCTGTTTTTTAACGGAATATGCAAACTCTGTTCCGTTATCGCTAGGTGACAGGAAGGGAGATCTTTCAAATTTTGAAAGAAAAGCATGGCAATGAGTTTGAAGGTTTCATAAGGAAAAAATATGCCCTTTGCCAGGAGACGTCATGTATGAGAACTTGGGCCTAGCCCCTGCCAAACTGAGAGAAATATGTAAAGAAATAGACATCATTGTCAATGGAGCTGCCACTACAAATTTCTACGAAAGGTCAGAGCTTATTTCTGTTAACAAATTGTTTCAGATGGCATATCGTGGAAGTATTTGGTTAATTATTTGGCGAAACTACAGGTATGATGTGGCTTTCGACACAAATGTCATGGGAGCCAAGCACATATGCGAGTTTGCAAAGAGGTGCAGTAAACTCAAGATGCTGCTACATGTTTCAACAGGTAGGAAGCAACAATCTTGTATTCCTGTGTGGCCAAATCTGGACCGTCCATTTTGTTCAATTAAGGGGTACTCCCTCCATCCCACAAATAAGTTCGTTTTGGACATGATTTAGTATGCCAAGGAGTGATTAATTAAAGTCTATTTTTCCCTATTTGCCCCTATTAAACAGACTGTTGGGCTTTGCTCCGAGCACTGCGTTCTTTTTTGTGAATTTGTGGGGGTTTTTTTTGCTTTTTTGCTGCGAGCACTGCGTTCTTTTTTGTGATTTTGTGTGTTTTTTTTTTTTTTGCTGTTTTCCATGCATGGACGCGTACAAAGGCTTGCATGCAGCGCTTTTGTGATTTTGTGTGTTTGTTTTGCTATTTTGCATGCATGGACGCGTACAAAGGCTTGCATGCAGCGCTTTTGTGATTTTTTTTTTGTGTGTGTGTGTGTTTTGCGGTTTTGCATG